AAGAAGTTAGACCTGCTCTTATATTGATGTACATGTACATCAGTATATGTGCTGTATTTTGTTGTCAGGTTTTGTTAAACGGAGAGAAAAATATCTGTGCAGCCTGTAGCCAACCTGTAAAAACTTCATCAACATCAATACTGCATTGCCTTAATCTTTGACTCATCTTTTCAAAATTAATTTAAAGAAATGTCTGTGGAATCATAGAAATGGTCAAACTTTGCTGCATAAACTCTAGATTTGGTGATTTTATCACAGAAAGAGTAATTCATCTTACAAGTAAAACAGCTTCATGTAGTCTCAAAATGTTTTTTGTTGTTAAAACCTGTCACCAAGATTTACATGGTACAAAATATTTCGAATGGGGCTTAGAAATACATGGCATTGAAAGCCATGGGATTCGTGAAAAAGTAATTAAAACTTACCTAATTTCGTGACACTGGCTAATAAAATCCATAAACAGACGACATACGGAATCTCTACATGATGGAAATCCCAAATAGCTAGCTGATAACGTTCAGTGTGGTTACCTTCCTTTTTCCGACTGCCACTCTCAGCTGATTCCACCGGTTGACAGATGACAAAACAAAACAAAGCGAGTAAAATCCAATTCAAATGATGAATGAAAACTATTTTCTTGACTTCCATAATTACAATTAATTGATGCTGAACATCACAGTAACCAAAAATATGAAAAATAAATCAAGCAAGAAAAGCGATATTATGGTTTAAATGGTGTTAAAACTGGTCCGAATTCTGTCTTCTCAAAGCATTGTATCTCTTACTGTACACGATTGAGGAATATCGGTTATACTGCTACAGTTGACACTTAATAAACAGTTCATCGAGTCTGCGCAGTGGGAATATAACGGTATATTAAGTTAATTTGCATAATCGTGTGTATATTGGCCCACCCTTGGTTGACAAACCCGCCGCTGGGGAGTTTAATATGAGATTTAATTGGCTTCAATTGAAATTTTATTACCGGTAACGATGTACAGCAGTTATAAATACGTGGCATTTTTTTTCTCACACAACGAGCAAAATTTTTAATTTTCGATTTAATATATTGAAACACATTCATGAAAGCCAAGTATTAACATTTCACGGACATACCGATCTCCTACGCCGCAAACATGCTGTGTATTATCCAAACATAAGCATTTTTTTCGATTGTTGAGATATAAACATATTAATTGATCATTTAATATAACAGTAAAATATTGTTCAATACATCAATTGTAGAGCGATATAGAAATATCATTGTTAAAATAGTGTTCAATACATCAATTGTAGAGCAATATAGAAATACCACAGTTAAAATAGTACTCAATACATCAATTGTAAAGCAATATAGAAATACCATTGTTAAAATACTGTCCAATGCATCAATTGTAGAGTGATATAGAAATACCACTGTTGTTATAAAATATTGTTCAATACATCAATTGTAGAGCGATATAGAAATACCATTGTTAAAATAGTGTTCAATACATCAATATTGTAGAGCGATTTAAAAATACCACTGTTTTTATAAAATATTGTTCAATACATCAATTGTAGAGTGATATAGAAATACCATTGTTAAAATAGTGTTCAATACATCAATTGTAGATCTGTATGGAAATACCATTGCTAAAATAGTACTCAATACATCAATTTCAGAGCGAAGTAATGATAAGATCATCAAATTTTTTCAAGCTCATGGTAATTGGTAAAATTTGCATGAGTATATTTTCAACAGTATTATTATTCAGTAAAATTCAGTAAAATGATCAAGGATATCTGGATTACAATGTTTTCAATAAATACAAGTTGACGCCTGCGCCTATTTAAATATATATTTATCAAATTATTCTTCAATAATAAAAGAAACATGTGCAAGGTGTGTGTCATGTGTACATAGTTCACCTTTTATTAAGCAAATAATTTACTTCCCCTAATAAAAACCTTACTTTTATACACTATTTTATATGATAAATCTCACATTATTTTACAAGAGTAAATCTCACACTATTTTACATAGGTAAATCTCACTATATTTTACATAGGTAAATCTCACATTATTTTACATAGGTAAATCTCACACTATTTTACAAGGGTAAATCTCACACTATTTTACATAGGTAAAACTCACACTATTAAGTAACAACATGCTCTTCGATGCCAGCGTATCACTTTTCAGAACGATAAAAATGTATGACGTCCAGTTCATCTACAATTTCGACAGACAAATTGAAGGAATATACATTATAGGCCACACATATACATTTTATACGATATGGATGGACAGATAATGTTACTACTGTGATCAAGTACATGATCGCGAGATGTACAGTTACCAATTCAATAATGGGTAGATTATAAATGACATTCACCAGAAAGTGTCGTGACATTCATTGGAAAGCGTCATGACATTCACCAGACAGAAAGTATCATGGCTTTCACCAGTAAGTGTTATGTAATTCACCAGAAAGTGTCACGACATTCACCAGAAAGTGTCATGACATTCATAGGAAAGCGTCATGACATTCACCAGACAGAAAAAGTCATGACTGTCGCCAGAAATCGTCATATACGTTACCAAAAACTGTCAAGACATTCGCCAGAATGTTTTTATTCCTTTCTACAAATCTAAACGACCCTAAAAACAATTCTCTTAATTACAAAAAGCAAATATTTAGAAGGACAAGGCGAACTTTTCACCGATGACGTCAGTTTCAAGTAGACTAAAGTGGGCCTGAGGGTTATACCCGGATCTTGACGGATGCCCTATGTAAATACCTGTGATAGTTGATTCAACATCCTTAAAATATAATATACGTCTAGGAGGAAATACAATAGACCTAAGATTAATTATATAAGCATCTCGAGTCCTTATATCACGCGCCTTCTCCTGAGTTATTTTACCGGTTGTCAAATATCTATTTTAACGATTATAAAAAACAGAACACGTTTAAGTCTAGCATCGACTTTCAGCTACGATTATCCTTGTACCCTCCTCTGGTAGAGATTGAATGGACAAAACATGTTGATTTTACATTGTTGGTCAAAAAAAAAAAACACAATGTCTATGAAATGTAGTGAAATCAAGCTTTTTTCGCGCATTATAGCCTTTGTATTTAAAAAAAATCACTTCTTTGATATTTCATTGAATTTTTGTTTGTTTATGTTTTATATGTCTTGATCGGAACCATCGCCCTTTGACGTAGCCTGTACTTCCAGGTTGGAGGTAAAGTCGAAATGAGCAGATCTCCTAATGTGAATATTCGTGCCTAATGATTATGCCCACGATATTTTGATAACCAAAACATATATGAAGCTTTTAAGAGTCAGCAAGTTTCGGACTAACCACATTATCGTACTTTTAAACTGATATCGGAATATCCACACAGTAAAACTATTGGAGGACATTTTCACTATCCAATCAGCTTTGGAATCATATTACCTGAGCAAAATTTCATCCTTATTGATACTGATTAGTATAATCATGCGGCACAATCTAAACCAGAGAGTCACGGTTTGCTCAGAATTACACGTATCCAACTGGGGAAAAGCATCAATTTTGTTCAAAATAATAATGATTTCGGTTCCGAATATTTTATGGCTTATCAAAAATGATTTTTTTGGTCAGACCCCAGAAATTTGGAGATCTCAGAAGATCAGTTCCTGATAAATTGATGGAAATGCTGGATCTTGTCTGTCAGATATTCTTGATGTCACGATTGAAAGATCCGTAGCTTGGGTTTTATGGGCCTATAGTCTCAATCAGTCAGACTGAAATCGTCAGACCTATTAATTCGAAACGCATATTCCATTAAAAAATGACAGGCTTACACGTACAGCTCTAGATATTTCGTTTCTTTTAAAAGAAAGGCCTAATTGTAGAGAAATATGTCTCCTACGTATTCTTAATGTTTCAACTAAAAATATAGAGTCTTTATGAGACACCAAACTAGTTTTTAGGCTTATCTAATCAGTTTTTAATTAAATCTTTTAAAACAAATTCAGTTTGATCAAGAAGAGGTCAATTGCATATTTTTAGAATTATTTTCATATATAGGCCTAGGCACGGCTAGACAGCATTATTCTTTCTATTATTACCCCTTTTCAGGTTCCTTGATCGATTGCATTACCGGTACCCTCTTCTCCCTAGATAAATTCTTACGATTGCACCCCATCTCCAATAAATCCTTACTATTACCCGTCTTCCCCTATAAATCCTTACTTTTACCCAGTGGCGGAGTCAGGTTTACGTCCGAGGGGGGTCGAAATACCTGAGATTGCCCGAATTTCTAACCTAGTTATGAGATTTTTGTCCGAAACTTGCTTTCGGGGCTGCGAGGGGGGGGGGGGGGGGGCCTAATAGTCTTAAATTAATTCAAGGTAGGCCTGTCAGCTAGCGCCTATGATATTTCTCCTTACACAAAAATATACATTAAATCAATGAAATCTATTCACCCAATGCAATTGCATGGAATTAGGGCTGTGATCTTTGGTAATAAAAATCTGTCATCGCTAAGTTTCAAAGGCCAACACCTGTCATTGGGCTACGGGCTCAAATTAAAGTATGAAGGGAGGTAACTCTTTTTTAGTTAAAGCGAATCGACGTGTTTTAACTTTTTCTTGGAAGAAAAATCGTGCAAGAATCGCCTGACACTCTCCCCATTTTTGTTTCATTTATTTTTCATTTATCTCTGTTTTTCTTAATGACTTATTCTGTCAATGTTTCTTTTACAATATCTATTTTCACTGCATATTTACATGTGACATCAGATGGATGAATCATTCTCGCATGAATTAGGTCGTACTTGATTGATACTTCTCGTCCCTGCAAAATTTGTTCTCGATTAAACCAGACGAAAATAACAGAACATAGTTTTGTAATAAATGATGTCTGGTAATTCAAGTCTGTGAGGTTTTTATTGTGAAATCCAGTTCGGCCATAGACACCTGGCAAACGCGCATGCGTGACTGGCTTCAACCATTAGGAGCAATATGGCGCCCATCGGTGAAGGGAATGACAGGATGGGCTCACTAAATGTAGATGATAAAGGCTCTGAAGAAACTCAAAATTTATGGTAAATAGCCACCGCCTTCTGGACGAGCGTATTTAAATAATAGCATTGTTAAAAAAGCCCTCGTACCTTGATGAATTCCTATATTGTTTATGTTTTCATTGGAATGTCTGCAGGAATTTTTCTCTGTTGTGATGATTATGCAGTAAGACTAAAATGGAAATCTTGACTCATTTTTAAAGCTCATCTGGCCAAATTTTTCATGTGTCAATATCAGAGTGCACCAGGGTATGGAATGCATTTTCCATTGGCCTGCCCCTCCCTTGACATACTTTCTATTCTAAGTGACTTTGACATGATGAATTCCACTGATTTCCTTTGCCTACATCCACAGTTTCAAGCCCGAAATTTGTCTTAAACAAATTGCATAAATTGTATTACTTGACATATTTTCTTGGTCTAACTGTAATATGCCACTGAAATGATTGTAAATTGTACATATAGTATTTGATTATCTCAGTATACATAAGCTTAGGTCTACATGATGTCAATGACATTTTGGCTAGGCTAGTCAAAGAGGCCTACTTGATAAGCCTTACTTCTTTGCCTTTAGGTCCTCAATAACCTGGCTAAAAGGTTGTGCAGCTCTTTAGTGCTTTTGTCTTTAAATTATTTTTTGGTAATTATTTATCTATAAGCTTATAACTTACAGTCAATCTGACAATGGGTTAATAACTTAACTTTTTGACATCTCTGAGCATTGCTGAAAGAAAACCCCAAAATTATCCTATAGAAGCGTATTCCATTTAAACTGGGTACCGTAATCAATTCCTATATCGCCTGTGCAACCTTGGAAGATATGTTAAATTGATGATAATTAACCATTTATGGTGTTTATTTTTAAGGGCAAGTATTTTAAGTGAAGTCCAGTCAAGTTCTGCATCAAAATTATCCAATTCAAGGACAGTATTAGTTTTGGGTAAGTCAGCTTAGAATATATAAAGCTATGTGGAACACAAAGATAATTTTTTATGATGCCTGAATATAAGCCTACTGTGTACTGATTTTCTTAAGTTTTCAGAAATGATCAAAATGTCAATGATGGAAGTAATTATCTTACTTTAGCCTTAAACTGATAATGAAAGAGAACTGGTAGGACTTGTAACAGCTTCTTTATTAGTTAGTTAGAATTGTTTCTTCAGTTCATACACTTTGTCTATGTAATAATTAACAGATAGGACAAATAACAAGTGCAATGTCTCTTTGTTTTTCAACACAGTGTACCCTTGTCAAGGGTGAAAAATAGTCTTCTTAATTGCAGGTCATATAAGCTTACTATTTGAAATAGACTAAGATTGGGTAAATTGACACTGCTGCAAAATGTGTTCATTGCACACTATATGTAGGTAATTTATGATATTTTTTCTTTTTGATTTTTAGGTGATAATGATTCTGGTAAAACAACATTAATAGCTAAACTACAGGGTATAGAAGAACCCAAGAAAGGTTCTGGATTAGAATATTATTATATTGATGTTAAAGATGAATATAGAGATGGTATGTACGCAGAGTTTATTTCTGATAGTTGGTGTTTATTTAGGACCTAGACATCACAAGATATCTGAGTTTTTACAAAAAAATATTTGGTAGTTTTGCTTTCACATCATGATTTGCAGACTTATCATCTCCCTTCCCTATATTTATATCTCGAGATATGAGTAATTGGTGTTTGCAACATGAGTAATTGATGTTGGCAACATGAGTAATTGGTGTTTGAAATAAGAGTAATTGGTGTTTGAAATAAGAGTAATTGGTGTTTGAAATAAGAGTAATTGGTGTTTGCAACATGAGTAATTGGTGTTTGCAACATGAGTAATTGAGTGTTTGAGATATGTAGTGATAAATGTAACGGTAGTGATGTTTGAGACATAAGTTATTAGTGTTTGCATCATGAGTAATTGGTGTTCGAAATATAAGTTATTGGTGTTTGCAACATGAGTAATTGGTGTTCGAAATATAAGTAATTGGTGTTCGAAATATAAGTTATTGGTGTTTGCAACATGGGTAATTGTTGTTTGCAGTATAAGTAATGGGTGTTTGAGACATTAGTAATTGGCATTTGAGACATGAGAAATTGGTGATTGAGACATCAATAATTAATTTGTGCTTGAGATATCAGTAATTGGCCATTTTGACATGAGTACTTGGTATTTGAGACACGAGTAATTGGTGTTTGAGGCATGTATTCATGTTTGCAACATGGGTAATTGGCGTTTGCAACATGAGTAATTGGTTTTTGAGACATGAGTACCGGTAATTGATGTTTGAGACATGATTAATTGTTGTTTGAGACATAAATTGTTGATTTTTGCAACATAGTAATTGGTGTTAGAGACATGAGTAGTTCATGTTTGCAACAAAAGTAATTTATGTTTGAGACATTAGTAATTGGCATTTAAGACATATTTAATTAGCATTTGAGACAATACTTTGTTATACCATGAACAGCGATAGTTGCAACATGAACAGTAGCTTGTTCTTTGATTAACTGTTTGACGCAGAGCAGTAAAAGTTTTTAATCATAGCAACAAATTTTCAGTATTTTTGATTTATCTTCTGGTATATTTCAGAGCAAGCCAGACTAAATGTGTGGGTATTAGATGGTGACCCTGAACATACAGGCTTGTTGCGGTTTGCCTTGACTCAAGAAAGTTTTTCTGATACTTTAGTGTTACTAGTAGCTTCAATGAATCAACCGTGGTCTATAATGGAATCCTTAAATAAGTGGGCTGGTATATTACGTGAACATATAGACAGATTAAAAATTCCTCCTGAAACAATGCAGGAATATGAACAAAGTTGTAAGTATTAATGTAGAATATAATTAGTATAAGCTTCAAATTCATTTGTATACATATACTAATAATGTCATCTGTTTTTGTTATAAAAACTTGTCAGCCAATTAAAACGTATAAAATATGTAAAAAAAAAAAAATGGACAGTGTATGCAAATTATGACCAAACATCATCAATTAGTAGAAAAAAGTATGGTAAAATCAGTAATGTTTACTCGGTTATTCAAATTTTATTAAAAATCTGTTTAAGCAAGACAATTCCGTTAATCGAAATCTTATGAAGACATAACAATCGAGAGTAAAAGTTGTAAAGTAGTGGACTCCTCTAAAAAGAAGTACTACCATGAGGTGTTTCAAAAAGAGTTAGCTTTGTGTGACACCCACCAAAACCACCCAAACTGTTCTAAAAAGTGATAATGGAGTACTGGTATAAGGAGGAAGTATAAATATATCATTAGTTGAATATGGCCCAAAATCTTGTCCAAAGCATAGCAGGTTGTAAAAGTAAAAGTTGTTATGTATTGGATTCCCCCAAAGAGAAGTACCATCAGGTGTTAAAAGTACTGTATACAATGCTGATCAATAATGGTAACTGTTGTAAAAACTATTCTAGTAATAATGAAGTATAAGGAAGAAGTATATATATATATATTATTGGTTGAATATTGGCCAGTGTTGAATCAAGCTGACAAAAATCAATATATAATGACTAATCTATTGAATGAAACATTCATATTAAATATCAATCTCAGAGGGTTTATTTCTATAATATTACTGATAACCAATAGTTCAACTCATAGTCGGTCTAATAGTTTAACTAATTTAACTAATAGAATGATATTTTAACTAATAAGCTTACTATGCAAATAGTTTAACTGATAGTTCATCAAAATTTTAAGCTTATATCATCTGACTTGTAGTTCATCTTACTTATAGTTCAACTAAATTATGATTCAACTTGTAGTTCTACGTATATTTTTTAACCAATAAAACAAATATTTTGATGAATAAAATAGCTAATATTATAAATAGCTTGCCGGTAACTAATAGTTCATCTAACTTAGTTCAACTTATATTTTAACTAATAAAACTAATATTTTGATTAATAAAATGATATTAACTAAAAGCTAATATTATAAATAGCTTGCCGGTAACTAATAGTTCATCTAACTTAATTCAACTTATATTTTAACTAATAAAACTAATATTTTGATTAATAAAATAATATTAACTAATAGCTAATATTATAAATAGCTTGCTGGTGACTAATAGTTCATATAACTTATATTCAACTTGTAGTTCTACTTATATTTTAACTAATAAAACTAATAGTGTAACCTTTAGTTCTATTAATAATTCTCTAATAGTTTAACTAATTTAGTTTAACTAATAAATAACTAATAGTTTAACTTATAGAATTATTGTGTATCTAATACTTTCAGTCAATATTTTAACTAATTGTTCAAGGAATAGTTTAACTAATAGTCCATCTAATAGATTTAAGATAATTTTAGTAAAATGCCAATAAGATATACTTGTTTACTTGTTACTAAATTTGAATAGTTTGAACAGGTTTTTCAAGTTCTAATATTTGTATACCTGCTCTGACCTGTATTATTGTTGATTACCTCCCTTTAATATTGATTATAATGAGGTGGAGTAAAGAATGAGTAAGATTAGAAATAGCTTTGTTATGGTAACAGGTGTATTGAACAAATTGCATATTTTATATTCTCTCATGTTACATAATTTCAATTAAAGTTTCGCAAGGCGTCATAAGAACATAAAATTCATAATTTGATACATATCAATATAAAAATTTTTTGAAATTGCAATATACTCCGTAAATATCTTTAAGTGAAAGTATGCACTGTTTTACTCAGTGTATTTTGAAAAATCTATATGATAGATTCCTTCATTTTGTTTGGTATTGCTGGAAAAAAACTAAGAATGATTTAAATGGGTTGTCGTAAAGTATGCGTAATAACATAAGGCCCTACTCAATTAGTGACGTCATCAAACACTTAGTTTTCATGGAATTGAAAGAACCACAGACGTCTGATTAAAAATTGGAATGGTGCAAATTAATGCTTTCAGTGTCCCCGATACACATAAAAAAAATAAGAAAAACCTCTTTACAATCCCTTTGACAATTTTGACAGAAATTGATGAAAGTGGTGACAAATTTGTAACAATTCTTATAATTTTGAAGCTGGAGCTTCTTGAGTTGCAATGTAATACATATATCCAGTTCGCCAAAGTATTCTGACATTGCAGTAATGTATGGATAAGGTGGCAGATTAAATATTAGATTTTAACCCTGTTAAATGATTTTAACAGAGACATCTTGATGTAGTGTGTTGTTAATTTTAATGAAAATATTGTCAAATTACCCATGTGTCATTACCCACCCTTTAAACTGTTAGTCATTATTTGTCACAGAAAAAGTAATAATTTTGCTGTATAAATGGAGGGGTACAAAGTCCATCTACCCTATTACCGATATATAAGAATATTTCTCTAGGCAATCTATTTCAATTTTCATTGATGTTTATTTCAGTAATTAGGTTCTTCCAGGAATATACTGAGCCTGAAGAAGGTCAGTCCTCCAACCATGCCCCCCCTCGAGGAGATTCAAACCCCCTCCATCCTACTGCACCAACGACGGAAGGGGAAGGAGACAAAGTTTTATTACCATTAGGAGAAAAAACCTTATCACAGAATTTAGGAATTCCAGTAGTACTAGTTATAACAAAGGTAAGATTGGATATTAAAATAGATGTATTACCCTAATTTGTGTTACAGGGACAGTTTCACCATTCGTTTGACCCATCATAGTAAAAATCAATAATAGGTACAATGACAAGTCAGCTTTTTTTGAGACTGCCATTAATAGAAAAGATATATATATGGCATGTCAGCACATTACAATCTGTTTTGATACACATTTGGAAATCAGAACAATTCCAATTATTCCGTTTTATTGAATTGTAGATGAAACAATTCTCTAATTTCATTCTAAAAAGTGATACAGAAAGTTAAATAAGTATTTACATTCAAGTACAGGTATAGCAGTTGCTTCACAACCTCAATGATATCATTTCTCCATGGAAGAGTTTTTCGAAAATCAGTCTTTTTGAAACATATTTCACTTGAAAAATGTATTCAACAGTTAACCATGAATATTATGCAATTATAATTTACATATCGATATCAATGTAATACTTGGGCGGATTTTGGTATTTTCGGGGTGAATTACATCAATTGCAGTCTCAGATCACCTTGCCTCTCATTTCCTCCCGGGTCCAATGATTCCTCCCGGGTCCGATCATTCCTCCCTATTTGCCCCCCCTAGGCAATAATTCCTCCCCATGGTCTTCTGATTCCTCCCTTGAAGATTAATTCCTCTCCTGTTGAGAAGCACTGAGCTGCAGTGCTAGTAGTATTTAAATATTGATTAATAAAACTTCATTTCTACACTTGAATAAGAGTCAAATATGATTATGACATTTAATCAATAATTATATGGCATTTGTTATTTATAAATTTACACTAAGTTTTCGTGTTGCAAGGAATTGCATTTTATTTAATCAATTTCTGAAGCATATAATGCACAGAATTTAAATTTGAATTCCAATTTTGATTTGCTGCAAAATACTGCAAAAAGTTAATGTTATATCAGTGAAATTTGAAACTAGCGATATTGGATAGGAATATGTAAAACCTTATTCAAATGATAAATTAGCCAATATTGCTAAACCTCTCAAATATTTGATGTGCTTTCTTAAACTTCCAATCATGAAGTTGGAAAATGCATGGATTAACTTGGTTCATTTGAAATATTATTTTCTATAAACTTATTGATTTATTTTGCCCCTCCTCTATAACAAACCTTTTCCGTCTACATGTTTATGAAAATTACCTACATATACCGCCAGCATAGGAACTATTACTAGAAATCTTCAAAATGACGGCCGTTTTATGCCACAGACTTGACAGTGTACTCATTAGTTAAGGACATTAAAAATGTAACGATTCAATCATTTATTATGTTAAAAAATACAAATACTATATAAATGTAAAATGAGCACATATATATATAAGAAATACAAACATTTTAGAATTCAAAAAGAAAGTTTTGAGTTGTTGTCTGGATAGTTGTCGAAACTTCACTTATGACCAAATTAAAGGGATTGTAAGAAGGTTTTCTAAATTTTCTATGTGCATAGGGGGCACTGATAGCATTAATTTACAGAATTCCAATTATCAATCAAACGTCTGTGGTTCCAGTAATTTATTAAAACTGAGTATTGATGACGCCACTAATCGCATGGGCTGTATGTGAGAATATTATGTGATTAGTGACATCATCAAACACATAAGCTTAGTTTTAGTGGAATTGCAGGAACCACAGACATCTGATTCAAATTGATGCTATCGGTGTCTTCGATACACATAGAAAATCTAGAAAACCTCTTTACAATCCCTTTAACTCTTTTCAAAACAGTTGCTTGTGAATAAGTATCGGTGATGCTATGTCATGTAATATGATCACCTATGGATTAGATTACATTAGATTAAATTCAAACTGATAGTTAATGATATAGAAATAAAATATCAGATATTGGTGAAGATACGTGCTATATCAACAAACATCTGTAGTGTTGGTTTATCATTATCTTCATTTACTACCACTCTCTAAATACCACCATAATACTGATTGCCCTAAACTGGCGGTATATTGAAGAATTACTGTATAGTCTAAAAGCATAGTTAAATCTGAATGTTATGGTGGTAATATTTTATACTATCTATTTATGAGAATGTGAACAAATGAAGATTACTCCCTCATTTAACATCTATAGGAACAGTTATGAAATTTTGGGAGGTTGATTTTAGTCTTGAATATATGTAAATAGTCTTAAAAAGTACTAGAAATGTACGAAAAACGCATTATTCTTGTGAAAATATCTCAAACTAGGACTTTTACTCACTATTACTTTTCTATCACACCGTATCTTAAAATGAGGTCATTTTTACATTCAATCGCAGATAATAGATTTGAAAGCTCAAGTTTCGATGGTGAGATGTGAACACTTTTACTGATTGGCTTAGCTAAAAAAATTCCAGTTTCTGAGACTAAAGTATGGTTGGTAAAAAAAATTCGCATCTGTCTCTTTAAGTAAAAACCAATATTCACATAACAATATTGATAAAACATTACACATGATTGACCATTGAGAGACTGGACTTCGATTATTTTCTTTTATATTAATCTTGCACATATATGTCCCATCTTCATAATGTCAACTTTGTCCTATACCTTGACCACAATAGCCACCTTTCTTGTATCCCAGAAGTTTGTAAATATAGCAATTTGATTGTATTGTATAACGGATATAGTCTTTACTATCTTTCTGTCAAGGGCCATGATTGGTTGTATTCGCTTGTGTACAATCCAATCAAATCGATGCATTCAGTGATACAAGACTAGTAAGAGTAAGAGGAAGCTCATAATGGCTTGACATTGTGAATTTGACACTTCCCCCTCATAAAAAGCATAGTTTCAGCAAAATTGTTTTCAGTTGTTGTGATATTTATTTGAATCTATATATAGTAGTTTGATTTATATTGTTTCTATTGTTTTTACAGAGTGACGCAATCTCAACATTAGAAAAAGAACATGACTATAAAGATGAACATTTTGATTTTATTCAACAATATATTAGAAAGTTTTGTATAAATTGTATCCTTTAAGCATTTACAGTTGTTTTTACATTTTGCCTAACAGTTCATGTGTACATGTGTTTATGTCACTGATGCAGGTTGGAGCTGCTGGCTGGCTGGCTGGCATGGATGAATCATCTAGTCATGTTGGATGTTACATTAGATTGTTGCCATCGTTTGAAAATTTAAAACTAGCAAGCTTAATAAACTCCTGGCCATGTAGGGCCTTAACTTCTAACACTGTTTATATAGCTATTTAGATATCCTAGCACTAAGATTGTTTGGAAAATGCATGGCTCGGCATTTTCCTTATTGCACACTTCACCAAATTTTCTGGAAAATGCTCAAAGAAACGGATAGTCACAGTTGGTTTTAACATCAACTTTTTCAAAGGATTGATTCAAAGGTAGAAAAAATCTGATAAATTTTTGTTGAGTACCCATTAGAATTTGCAAGAAGTATTGATCCATTATATTAAGGGTTAGATGTTAAATATCTACAAGTAAACAGCCGTTGAAGATTGAATATGGGTTTACTATTTAAAATTATAAGATAAACATACACATACCTCCTTAACCAATATATAGATGGTGCTGCTTTAATATATACATCAGTAAAAGAAGATAGAAATTGTGAATTATTATATAAATATTTAACACATAGAATTTATGGTTTTCCCTTCACTAAACCACCCTATGTTGTAGAAAGAGATGCTGTCTTTGTGTAAGTTTTGTATCCTAGACTTTGACTGGGGTTCTGTTGTCAGATAAAATAGCAATCTCATATCATAATTCAGTTGTGACACCAATTTTTGGGGCACATTGGGAAAGGGGCAAATTAGAAAGGGGGCTTTATGGGAAAGGGGCAAAATAGCAAGGATATGGGAAAGGGGCGAAAAGGGAATAGTTTAGTGGTGAATTGGGTAGGGACGATATGGGAAAACATCCTCCAGAGGGGGTTGCAGGAGTGGGGTGTGTGCATTTGTTTCTAGTAAAATAGTTTGTACCCCAAAATGTACCCCCTTGCTGCATTTTGAACTCTGCGTGGTACAGTTGTTTCCCCTTTAAGTCTGTCTAACCCAGGAGGTTTACACAGCCTTTGTACTGATTTGTTTCATGTCACCAAATGCTTTGTTTTCAACTGCCACTCTAAAAAAAAAATGGTCAAAAAAGTTGTGAAATGTAACCATGTTAAGATATTCTTTCAGACCATGTGGATGGGATAATGAAAAAAAGATAAGTATATTATATGAAACCATGAATACAGTTAAACCAGAAGATTCCTTTGAAGATGTTATAGTTAAACCCCTTACTAGAAAGGTAGGCTGACCATTTCATTTTCAGTAACTTCTTGCATTATGCCATGATGGTATAATGCTGTTATAATTGATTGATTGTTTGTTTGCGCTTTTGGCTTTGAAATTAATTTTATGATTATCTCTGTTGATTTACATTTTACATTGTTGACATGATGACTAAGACTACATGACAAGTGGTTTTCATAGAGTTCCTCTTTGGCCCTTTTCATACTTGCATATAGATAGGAATCATCCAATCCATTTGCTTACAAATTGAACTCTAAATTCTCTCATGTACTGTCACAACAATTGCACCAAATTCTTGGCTTATTTAAATCTAACCAATGAAGTGTCTACTGGCCAAGGTACAATCGTCCAATGAGACATGAACAAAGCCAACACTTAAAGTAAGCAATATTTGTTTAAAGTGAATTTATTTTTCCAGCCAATCCAAAGAGATGCTGAAGTTATTGCAGAAGATGAACAAGTTTTCTTAATGAGACAGCAATCACAGCTTAGTAAACAGCCTGTACCGGGACCAGTAGCCGTAAGTTACAGGAGCAGGGTTATTCCATAAAGTAGAAATAACAAGTTTCCCCTTTTCTTTGCGAATTTGGTTTAAGGGGGTAGAGAGAAGAAACCCTGCCAATGAAAACACTTGCACAAGCATCAGAATATTTCTTGCCTTGAAGGCATTAAATCATTAATAAAGAAATGTTGGTGGATCCAATGAATAGGATTATGTTTACAAGAATTGGATGAGTTAAATTTCATCTAACCTTGTAGTGGGTCATTTAACATAAAAAAAATTTCTTGCAGGAAAGTACCCCTATTAGAACACAGCGACCACAAGCCCAGAGAACTCCTGAAAGACCTGGTGGAACACCAAATACTCCATTACGTGGAAAGGTAGGTTCAAAATTTACTTGTGACTTTAAATTTCTAAAAATTTTATCCTGATTATGACTTCAGTGGACTTAAGATTGCATTTGATGGACTAAATCATGATTTCAAAAGACCTACAAGGATATTTCTTGGTATTTCTAGTCTCAAGATGGTAAAGGAGCACCACCTGGTAACAGTGAAGGGATGTTGGCTAATTTCTTTAACAGTTTACTCAGCAAGAAGACAGGAGCTGCTGCAGCCGGTAAAGGTAGATGTAGTTTTAGAGTAGTCTCCCTTGCTCAAATTACTAATTCGTTTTTAAAATCTAGAGCTTGTGTCCATGCCATAACACAAATCTTTGGGGTTGCTTGATTGGTGGGTTCTGCATGATCAGGTTCTGCACGATCAGGATCTAAGGCATCAACTAGACGTTCATTAATTAAAGTTGGAACAGAGTCCAGAACACATTCCACGTGCGCTGTACAAATAGTAGGTGTAAACAGAATTCAAAATGGTGGAGAAGGAAATAGATAGGAAAATTTTTATGTCACATATCATCTTTCATACCATTAGTTATCGGAATTGAAGAAATGGAACCTGATCAGAATTCTCCAATCGAACGCCTCCTTAATTTTCTATTGGCAATCTTGGCACAGCCAGTATCGAATCACAAAGTGGTAGTCCTGGATGAATCAAAGGGCTAGCATACGCATCATCTAATGCTTTTTACTAACAAACTAACATGTACATTGCAAAACTAAAATGCAACAACATTTTCTGTAAAATTTATAAGTTGCTATGCTTACAAGCATTGAATTTGAGCTGTAGGGAATCGCTGTAGTCTTATTGTGACAGTATTTTAATTGTTTTGGTGTTGTGTCAAGGTAAAGGCCTGTCCATAACCTCCCTTCCTTTTTCAGTTCTCAACATGAAACGGTACATTTTTGGTTTTGTTGATCTTTCGTTATCCCCCGTTGATTAGATTTTTTTTTTTGATTTTTTTTTTATTTATTATTTTTCATGTGATTTTTTTGTTTGTATTAAATAGTATTAATGGAGATGCCAAACTTTGGTGATTTTGTTTTTTTGGCTTTTATTTTCAATTTAACCACTTCAATAGGTGTCTTATGACAGCCCTCTTGAAAGTTCGTCATATTAATCTTTGGCCCTTTGACCTTACTCGATGACATCTGCTTAACCAATCAAATTTTTACCTTCTCCTACGCTGGCATTTTATGACTTAATGTTTATCAGGTTAATTCAGAAGGTCAATTTGACAACCTTTAAGAGGGCTGTAGTTAGATCCTAACTGAAGTGACTATATTAAAAACATAGGCTAATAAAAAAAAGAATCTACAAGTATGATATCAATCTGGAAATTTACCCAAAATTTGGCATGAAATTGTCATTCAATTTTTTTCTCTTCTAAAATTGAATTTAGACTTGACATTTCCTTCAAAATTTTTTTATAAAATGAATGAGAAAAATTCTTTCTGAAAGGTGGAAATTAAGTTGAGATATGAAAGAACTCGGATCAATAAAAGTTTCAGTAAAATCATTACTCAAAATCAAGATGAAATTAATATAGTAGTTACTTTATTCCTTCCTTACTTATTTTCAGACAAGGCATCAGTAGCACGAGATGCGGCGGCGGAGTTGGAACGCATGACAAGGGGCAAGAAACAGGCTACAAGTACACCCGAGATGAATATGAATAATGATGCCAGTGCTTCAAGTTCCTGATAACTTCCACTAGGCCGGTATTCATGTTGAAATTCTAGTGAGGCAAACTGTACAATGTTTCGTTGTTAATTTATGATTATTTACCTTATAATTTCGCTTTGATATTTCAATTTATAACTGCTGTGTATGTACCATCATGTTCCGAGGAAATATTATCGCACTTTTAAATTTATTATCAGGAGTTGGAAAAAATTTGATGAAGAATTCTGCCAGAATCTCCTTTTCTCTGGAAAATTGTATTTTTACCATTCTAGTCCAATGTATAAAGCCTCAACGCTTCTGCTATGAACATTCCCTTTAGTGAGTAATTTGCAAATTTAGGCTTTAGGAATGAGATCATAAGCTTTTCCTGTGCTGAAATCTAACCGGAATTAACTTGAAATAGTTCAGATGAAATTTGCCACCCTCAATGTGGCTTCAAGCTTTTATATTTTTGGAAAGCAATGGGTTTGAATGCTTGATAATGTAGTTACCCATATATAAGAACAAAAAAGAAAAAATAACAACACAGTTGCCTCTACAGAATACGAACAAGAAATTAATTTATTATTTGTTCATAATGAAAATATTGCATAGTTTATTCTAATTTGTATATTGCATTAATGAAATAACTTTCATTCTGTACATATTCTAATTTCTACACAGTGTTTCTCATGGGGGTAGGGTTTCCTTATTACTATACATTTTGACTCAACACATGAGCTGGAGACAGTCTACAAAAGATAGTTGAAAATGTAGCCGAATTGAGTGAAATTGTTCAGTACAACATTTTGACTCAACACATGAGCACGGCACAGTCTATGAGTCAATTTGTTGAGTACATCATTGAGTCAAAGTGTTGAGTATGACAAACATAATTGTGTCAAATTGTTGTACAACAAAGATGATTGAGTCAAATTGTTGAGTACAAAAAACATAATTGAGTCAAATTGTTGAGTACAACAAACATAATTGCGTCTAATTGTTGAGTACAAGAAACATAATTGAGGAAAATTGCTGTACAACAAACATAAATGGGGAAAATTGCTGTACATCAAACATAATTGAGTCTAATTGTTGAGTACAACAAACATAATTGAGTCAAATTGTTAAGTACAACAACCTTAATTGAGTCAAATTGTTGAGTACAACAACCATGTTATTTGAATTGTATGTGATAATATATACTGAAAGTGCTTTTTAGATTAGTTTAGCTTGCTAGTAGAAGAAACTAGTTTTATAAAGGAACTGTTTGGAGATTTACGTGGTCTTGGATCTATGGCAATAATCTTCTCTTTCTAATTTGGTGGTAGAATTTTTCGATATTTATTGATAACTAATAAGGTTTGATTGGAACAAATTAAATGTTAAAGATTTTGTCCTTTAATTGACGAAGTAAACTTTCGAAGCCTTGAAGATTTTTCAAATTCTAAAATTCTTAAACAATGAATGGTTATGTAAATTCATGCATGCTTTCAATTGTCATTGCAGAAAAATCTTTTGTTCATACACAAAAATAAGTGTTCATAGTCAAATCAAGGCATAGAATTGTACATATTTGAATTCTCTTGATCAATCAGGCAAAAGCACACAGTGAGAACCCGTACATGGGATTATTTATTTAGCTTATATTATTGCTTATAATTATAAGTTATGTGCTTACTTATATATGATTAAAATCAATGTGTCATGTGGATCTACTTTATAAGTAGTAATATCTTTCTCCAAGTTGTTGAAGTACCTGCACATTATTTTTTGATCATCTAGATATTTATTTTCGTTGAAGCAATTTGTTTGCTAGATGATCAAAAAAATCTGAAAAGTCTCTGGAAGTCCTTAAAGATTCCGTTATTTTCTGATGCTATCCACAAACAATGACTTTTCAATGCCATTGGGGCTATAGTCAATTGATGTAGTACTGTCAATTCTATGTTGTAAAGCACAATATGCTATATATATGCTATATGCAGAACTGTATGCAAAATTATATATATTTTCATATCATACTTGTGGATGTTAACATTTATTAGGGTATAGTTAGTTTGTTGCTACTTCAAACTTTCGCAATATAAAAACCATAATTGATTGATCCTTCAGATGCTTGATTGAATTTGATTGATATTAAGAAACATTTGGACAATTCTGAATTTGATTTAGTCATATTCGACATGTTACATTCTTATATTTCATTGTGTAGAACCTTGTGGGATTACAAATTAATATTTGGATACAGGGTTCATTCTTTCATGCAACTTTAGATTGAAAATTTGAGTAGCAATTTATCACCTCAAAATTTACTTTTGGCTTATCAAATTAAATTTTGATCGGTAGCAATTTAAACTTTTCCAGTAGTAAACCTTCAAATAAAGAATTTAATTAGATTTGCAGATCGTCCTGATAAATTTTCATTTTGGCTAATGACATGAAATATTGGAATGCTATGGTCATTTTGAATCGCAAACTGCTATGCGATAGCGTTTAAGTTTCACCCTGGAAGATAACTCCTGCTTGTCGCAGTTGCTGATTATTGGATTGTAACAAGTCTTTTTCAAACTGTATATGTTGTATATAAATATTATGTCATATTCTGCCTTGTTCTTATAATCTCTGTGATTTTGCTGTGTTGATGATAAAATGAAAGATTAGGTTTGAGTAGGTAAAGTTCTATAGGACTTGTGTATGCTTCAGTTTTGCTTGTTATGTGATGTTTCTTCTCATATACTCTTATATTATCCGTTATTTCCTTTGAAATTATGAACCCTTCCAGAGCTGTATGATTCAAGATTGTTTTAGTTTCAAGATGCTGCAGTTGAAAAAAATACTCACTATATTAAACTTCACTATTAGAGAGTTATATCAAATATCACCTAAAGCCCTGTTTATATCTATTAGCAACAATTTTGAAAATCCCATATAAGAGTATAGGGTGCATAGACATGTATGTATATGTATATGCATTTTGGTTGTGGTGGTGTTTCTAGGCTAATATCTACAGTTTGATTAGCTATCTCGATTTTTAAGTCTTGATTCTGAATTTTGTGTGTAAATTATCTTACTTATGGTCAAATGCTAAAGAGGCATACTAATGTTCCAGTTTTGTCACATTGGCTAAGCATATGAAACTACATATTGTTTTTACATGAAAATAACACACACGAACTTAGTTCACAATCATTTTGAATCTCTTCCTTGACTTAATAAGTCGCAGTTTAAAATAATATTATAACATTTCAAAAAATCTTTCATGCCGTTTATAAACCTTTAAATGTTATTTGAACGCTTTGTTGAAATATTGTAATCCTTTTTAAGATTTCACTTGAAGTCCAGGAAGAGATTCAAAATGGTTGTAAACTATGTCCGTGTGTGTTATTTCCAAGTAAGAACCATAGGTAGTTGCGTATGATTGGTTTAGCTCTGATGGTTTTACAATTCAAAAAATATAATTTGAAAAGAGGCAAGAAATCTGAATTAAAACACTTTTTTTGTAAACATTGTACAGAAGACTGGCTTCATTTATTAAAGATTCCTCAAACTCAGTTTAATTTATTCTAGTTTGGTATTATAGCTGTTTGTTTCTGTTTTCATTTTAGCTCAGTATAGAATTCCTTTGCTCAAGATTTGTTTTGGAATATATTTCTGTTTTGATTGGCTCCGTGCAAAGAAAATATTAGACCCCTAAATATATAGTGATATCACATTAACATATCTAGGGATAATGCTGAATAGAATTGGATTAATTTGGTTATATTTGTAATCATAACGCCATTTGCAAATAGGATCTGATTCTATTTGGTTATATAGACCATCGTATGTTATATTGAATAGTATTTTAGGTTATATTTATTATTATTTAGTGCTATATAACATCTATTAGTTTTGTTAGTTATTTAAGAATTTGGTTCAGTGGTTCTAAATAAATGCTCGTTTCTAAATCAAATTTAGACTTATACTACCTCTTAGGATGACCAAAAAATTGAAAATTTTAAACTTGGCCAAGAGTCTTTGTTTATCAGTGGACTTACCTGGTGTCAAAACTATACAACAGAATCCCTCTATAGTCTAATAAATCAATAAAACTAAGTAATAATTCATTAAACTTGGTAATTTTCAATAATTATTTAGTTTAATGAATGTATCATGTTATATAGAAATTCTATTCTTTAGTCATGAAACCTGTTAAGTCCAACTGATGATTATATACACTTGTTGACCAAGTTTGAGACTGTAAATTCCATGTCCTTTCTAAGAGGTAGTGTTCCTTTAATTAGAATTTTAAGATGCATGTTATGATCAGGTCATTTTTTAGAATCCATTCCCTCTGATATTTGCATGTACCAATATTGATTTTCAATTCAATAGATACCTGGATACTGTTTTGCTTTGCATTTTACTCTTAAATTGTCATGTTCGCCATTTCTCTTTACCAATTTGATCCTTCAAATTCTGTTCCTTTAATCCAAAAAATGAGCCACACAGAGCTCTTTTTGCCGGAGAAAGTGAAGAACAAATTTTTTTCAATAAATATTTCCCATTTCTGTGTAGACTTTTTAAGAAAATTTCAGAAATTACAATGACATTATGAAACCTAGTCAAAGAATTTTTACTTTTGTAAATAGATAAGTGTCAATTTTCATTTTCAATGTTTATCATCAAGCTACTGCCATGCTTCAAGTTTTTCACTGCTTTCATATTTTATAGATTTTTATTATAAATTAATTTAATATAAACCTCTAGTGTGTAAAAGGTCAAAGGTTATAGTAGAAATTCATTAGTATCATTATAATCAATGTTATAGTTGTTTTTCTCTAAAGTATGCTATTAAATGGGAATTAAAAGGGATTGTTAAGAATTTTTTGAAATTTTTTATACATACCGGGGACACTGATAGCACCATTCTGATTTTCAATTAGACGTCTATGGTTCATGCAATTCCACTAAAACTAAGTGTCTGATGACGTCATATGCTATGACATAAGGCCCTTGATGTCAACAAGCACATAGTTTTACAGGAATTGCAGGAACCACAGACGTCTGATGGAAAATTGGAATGGTGCAAATTGATGCTATCAGTGTCCCGAATACACATCGAAAATTGAGAAAACCTCTTTACAATCCCTTTAAGCTTTTTTGTCATTTTCATGTGGTTTGTATCCATTTATGAAAGCTTTTGTTTCTTAGTCTTGCTTCATGGTTTTTTTTGTTGTTTTCTTTTCATTATTAACAGCCATGGAAGATCAAGATTGTAGAAGTGACCAATAAATAGAATTTATTTTGATTATAGGAACAGAAGTCAAGTTAACTTCTTGGCATATACCATGTTTTCAAAACTTAAAATAAGACAGACTGAAATTGTTTTTTTTTTTCACAGAAAATAAACATGATCGATTTGTCTATGACATCTCATTTAAGTAAAATATTAAAAATTACATTATTTGTGATGTTTGTTTATTTTTTGTTGAATTGTATATAGATAAATGTATTTAGTGTAAACAAATAAATAATGTTATATAATATCTGGAGGTAATGTGTATCTTATATAATTGTATAGATGTTCTCTCTCTGCCTTATGTCTAATGATAAACTGTCTATTTGCATCCTAATACACATCCCGTAGACACCTTATATTGTCTGAATTTGATGCAAGAGTATTTGCAATTATTAGTTAATAACACAAGTAAAATGATTCATGGAGTACCTAGTTGTTCCTTCTATACAGTGCTTCGTTTGCAAATAGACATTTTATTATATATCCTGTCTGTGTCTGTAGTTCCAATGGCATCAGGAAATCTGTGTTTACTTGAAATAAAACATACAAACATACCCTGACTCTTATTACTAGTATGATCGTACATGTCACTTAATGGAGATCGCGGTCGCACTTATGTGGACCCTTTGATGTTTTTGCATCCTCTTTTGACCCATTCCATTCTGAAATTCTGTTTTTTATCAAAAT